GATTCGACCCTTATGACATGGTGCATTATCCTGTTGGTAAACACCATCCCCCGCAGGAAAAACTGTTGCCATGAATGGGTGAACCTGGTCTGCAACTATGTTCAAGTAGCTTACAGACGTCAGGGATTGTTCTATGAGGATTATGAGTCCTAATGTGCCCCATGAAAACATTGTTCTTGGGCGAGAAACCATGAAAACCTGGACGAGTCCATTGTTATAGATGGAGTGTGGTCATAATGTAATGGCTCTTCGGTGTATGTATATATATATATATACAGTTCAAATTATTAAACAAACCCTTGAGGACATTCTAGTCCCAGATCAACTGACCCCAGTCATGAACCAACAATAGAGCATGTCATCGTTAATTTTTACTAATCAACTTTTAGCCTTACACTTTGAATTTTTATCTACTTTTGATTTTAGACTTCATAGACTTCTAGTCAGACTTTTACTTTTAGATATTTACTATTTGGACTTTTAGCTTTCATTGATTTTAGTTTTGAGATTTTTTTTTATCTCTTGTTTCCTTATTATTATAGCCATTTAATTCTCGACATTTACACCGGAGCTATTGGGTTTCATTGCCTTTAACACATGTTTTTAATTGTCAAGTGTTATTGTTAATCCATTTTTAACTGATCACCAGCACTGTCATTTAGCAAAATTTTACTGTAATTTTGGTTTTTAGAGAAATTTATTGTAATAATTTTACTTTTATCTCCGTATACCCCCCTGGGGTGGGTCGGAGTTCAACCTATCTAATATATATACAGTTCTACAGTTCTTAAAAGTCGTGACATATATTTTACCTGAAATTCAAGACCGTGTTTCTCTCTGCAAAAGTCTTTAATTCGTGGATAAACTTCTTCCATCAATGCATTTCTTTCCATTGACATATCTTTAAAGAAACAAATAAAGTTTTAATGAATAAACTTTACAAGTTTATTTAGGCTGGGATAGGCCTGGTAGGCAGGGCGCTGAACTCACGTTCGTGAGAACGGAAGTTCAAATTCAGACGGCCCAAGATTTCCTATGTAGTAAATGGTGACTGGTGCACGTTAAAACTGTCGGGTCACAAAGTCCTGCATGTTCCCATTATAAATTATACCTCTAAGGTACTGAATTGGAGACTAATTGTTCTCTGGTTCAGGTTAAAATCACGATCTGTGGATGAATGATTGGATGTATGAATGGGTCCGCCCTATAAACGGGCGCGATGTATGGGTGTGGCAGAAGTTGGATTCTTAGCCATAGATGGTAAACAAAAGGGGAAGGAAACAAAACTAATTTTTATTTAAACAAAACAAGTTCCATATTTTAAGGGTGGAACCCTTCAGATTATATAAAAGCTAAACATTACAATGCAATCAATGCAAGCCGATGCTTAGTATTTGGTCGTTCAATGGCAGACTGATTCTACTGCACAGAATATCAGCCCTCTAGTGGGAAGATTTAAAATTAAGATAATTTACTACTGCATTTCTCAACACACCCTACCTGACAATTTTAAAGTAAAAAAAAATATCACAAAACTTTACAATAGCAAAACAATACATATTCTACATTTCATATTATTTCAAAACATTATCTATTTTAACGAAAAATATAAAAATACACATTAATCAATTATTTATAAAACAGTAAAAGATCATTAAAAAAGATCATATTTGCAGGAATAATAAATTATTAAAATATCATAATTCAGAATGTTCATCATTCAGTTTTTAGCACTGGTCTTCTATACACACAAGTTTTAGTTTTTATGAGACAGGATCGACCTAATCCGTCACGACCCTTATAGGTTTCAAGAACCAAGTTCCATAATAATTTGGACTTACTTTTACTTTAGACGAGCACTACATCACCGACATTTAGGTTTTTCTCTGTGACGGATGCTTTTAGGCAAGTTATGAAATATGAGAAGTATTATATACTTTCCCTAGGCATTGTATATAATACCTAGGCATTCTATAGAATGACAAATGCTATTTAGGCAAGTATGAAAAAAACACTTCCTGATGAGGTTATTACGTAAATGATGTGCATTTCTCAAAAATAAAAATGTTATTCTGAAAAAATAATAAGTGTGCTATTGAAAAAAAAAAAATATTCAAAGTGCATAAAGAAAAATGGAAGTTGTACAAAACATAATTTATGCCTTTCTTATTAAGGGAAACAAAATGTTCATATAAAAAATAAAAAATTAACCAACTTGTTGCAACAAGGCAGGCTTGAATAACATTGCATTACATTACGAAACGAATCGGAGATGTATTTTACACTTTGCCGGTTTCTCATTTGGCATTCTAGGAAATGTGTGAAATATAAATCGTTTCATACATTACCGGCTAGTTTTAGGCATTGTATACAATGACTAGGCATTCTATAGAATGCCGGATTTCAAACTTTGCTGGTTGGTAACATAGTAATTGGATCCAATATGACCTTCTCAATGATCGAGTGCAATAGTTTCGCTTCTGATTTGCAATGTTCATTAGCTTTTTTTTCCCTTCTCTTCTATATTTTTTTTTTTTCGTTGATGAATTTGACTTTTGATTGTGCTGTTGTTTGACAAATCTATTTTGTTGATGAAATCCTTTAGCAAACAGACTTGTCTTTTTAAGAATTTTGCTGAGAAAAGGCATATTAAACACATTGGTTATATACGAGTATAGGCGCCATCTGTTGGAGTTAATTAAAGTTGACAAGAAGAGTGACTTTACCACTACAAATATTTAATACCAATTCACTAGTATATAACACATGTTAAATTGAATGGAGCTTGAGGTAAAATTTGGAAGATGGAGGGATTTAAGTATCGTCCATCTCCATCTACCATTTATTACCTTTTATTTAAATCGACGATTGTTTCACATTAAACAGTAGATTTGCTCACAAATTGGACAAAAATCTGGTGAAGTAAATACAATTTTCCCTGTCAATTAAGAAAAAAATAATAAATAAATAAACAGCATTCATCAACTAGTAGTATTCGTTCATCGAAATTTATCACAGATAAAATTCTGGAAAGGGGGTAATGTGGCATAACTACCTCTACAAATATTAAATACCAATTTATTTCTGTATAAGTCATGTCAACTTGATTCCATCTAGGGGTACCTTTTGATAAATGCAGGTTGACATAGTCGGTAAATATAACCCCTCACGTTAACCGGACTAATAGTTAGTAAAGAAAGAATTTCGACTCAGGCAGGACTCGGTGAAGTAGATAATGTTGACGACAAACAGCAAGCTTTTATTTTAACATCCACTATCAGTTCTCGCTTAGCATTAACTTTACTTTTATATTAACTTTATTTACTCGCTTAACATTAAGTTCTCGCTTAACTTTAATATTTATATTATGAAATTAAAATTTAGACAATCTTACAATATTCTTTTAACATTAATGTAACCTGCAATCCGTGACAATAAATTTAAAAGTACATATAGTATATATGCAATTAGTTACAGTGAGCGAAGTATATATAAGAGTACAGTGAGCAAAAAAATTATCAGCTTGAATAACTTTAGATCTAATGATCGGATTTTCACGATCTAAGTAAGTATCAATCTTAATGGTTTCTGGGAGTAACTTCAAATATTAGTGTCCCGCAATGGACAGATCGTTAAGACGCGGTTCCCAGCAGATCACCGATGTCAAGCATCACAGGCTGCAATCAGAGTGCGGGCGGGTGACCACTTGGATCAGTCTGCGTAGGAACCGAGAGTGTGCGGTATTAGTCCTCGTTAAACTGTTCTACCGTAAAGTGTTCGTCTTCGCGTGCAGGTTGTCAGGCTACTGAACCAGGGATGCCATCCCCTATGCAGAAGGCATGTCTTCATGATCATGGCATGTCTTCTTTGTGATGGCATGTCTTCAGATCATCCTGAGCGATGTTTCCCAGACCGTCGCCAATAGCCCATTGTGTAGCTCTAGTGCGACGTAAATGAACAAAAACAAATATTTGTATTAACTATTAGTTATGTTGCGAAATCAGACACCAAAATGCGCTTTCTTTGAATAAACATGTACCTTTTTTTTTTAAATATTTGGATTCCTAAACCTCAAAATAGACAAAAATTTGAAAAAATTGCAGTCGTCCCAAAAAAAGGCCGAGAATTATCGCCACAGCAGATTAAAAATTATATATAGCAATTATAGCATTCGGTTATTTTACATCCATATTTGAACTGCCGACCCCATTTTTGGGTTTACGACTACTTATGTTCAACTCCGTAGACTTGAAATTTTGATCCAATTCAGAAGGCAAGGAAACTCATGAATCAGTACCCCCAGAGGTATTGATTCGTAATGGGAACATGGAGGACTTTGCGACTCGACAAATTTAACGTGCATCAGTCACCATTTACAACACGGGGATTCATTATGACGCATTCGCATACATTATTAATACAAATACATTTTCCAGGGCGAGACAATGAGGCAACCACAAGCACTTCCACTGGTCCAAGAGGTCCACGAGGGAAAAATGCACAATATTGCCGTGATTATAACAGAGCACGGAAGCGAGCGGAGCAGGAAAAAGAGTCGTTGAATAGAACTAGTGATCCTTCTACGACTGCTGATTCTTCTACAATTAACGTCGCAGGTTGCGAAGTTTAACATCTTCCACTCGGAGGGACTCCACACACTATTTTTTTTTTCAAGTTTAAATTATATAATTTGCAATCTCTTACGTGCATGCTTTTTAGTTTCATTTTTGACAAGGTCTAAAAAATATATTAAAGGTAGTAATTTCATTACACCCTGTGCAACGAAACATTTGAAAATGAAGGGAAAAGAACGTATTTTGTGCATTTTTAACAATAATAAGAATTTGATCACCCTCTGTTGCATTTTGAAGAACGTTTGAACTAGGTTTGGAGATCAATAACTATTAAAATCGGTTCTCCCAGAGTTATTACAGAGTGAAAAACCGTTCCTGTCTCTGTGGTAAGTTAAAATCCGAACTGAAACTTTGGCGTTAGCGCATGCGCGCCTCCATTGCATAACCTCCCGTAAATACTTCTATATTAGTGGACTTTACGTACGAGATCTGGGTGTAAGATGTTTCTTTCTGCTTGTTAATCATATACTTGTTAATCTGTTTGTTAATCCTATATTGGTAATATTGTTTCGCTAATAAAATATGTTATTAACTAGTGCTGGTATAATCCTGAACCTCTTAAACAGTGACAGTCTCCATTGCAATTTGTTTTTAATCCACTTCGCAATTCATTGCAAAAATAGACACTGAACATTCAAATAATCAGCTTCTATTGATTCATCAAAATAGCAATGACTCATAAACCAGTAGCGAAAGGTATTAGATTTTTAATTTCACAACATTACTAAAAATATTTTTTTTTTTTAAAAAAAAGTACCTGTGAAGGTGGAACTGGTGAATATTCTGACAATCTTTGAACTGACAGGGGGGAGGTTGTCGAGGCAACCTAAGAATATTCCATCGATTGCTCTGTCGTCCATACTGAAAAAGAATAACGTCATGGTATTTTAAATGCCCATAAAATGTGCTTCTTAACCACCACCATCAAAATCAGCTTTGAAAATTAAAAATATTTCCATTAATTGAACATTTAACATCTCATTTAAATTTCTTCTGGCAATCAAACATATGTTAACACTAAACTTTAATTTTAGTTAAATTTAAAAGAAAATGATTGGCCACTAGATGGCAGTAGTAATTATGTGGAGATATACAGATGATTTTGTAAGAGAGAGAGCGTAAGAGTGCGCGCCAAGTAAACATGATGTGGAGAATGATACAACAACTTGATGACTGTATATATAGTTCCTGTAAATAAATTATTAATATGTCATAATTATCAAACTCTTACTTCCTCCTCCCCCCAACCGAGCTACTCGACACCTGACTATTTATAATTTTGTAGAGAAACTAATGAAAAAGTTCGATTCGAATATCTGAGAAATTTACTAAGTTTCAAGCAATTTTCTAAGTAGTTCTTGTACTTTTTAAAAGGAAGCTCAGAATGATACGGGGTTTTCTACAAATATTATTTTGTATCATAAGACCAAATTAAATAACAAATGATAATACGTTCATTCCCCGAAATATGATTCTATGGAGAAAAAAAACATACGAAAGAAAATATATACTTTTATGTGTTATGATGCCCTACAGCAAAACTGTTTAATAGTACAAAATCAAATTTGTGGAAAACCCTTTATTATTTTGAATTTTGTTTTAAAACGTACGAAAACTACTTAGAAAATTGTTTGAAACTTTTTAAATGTTCAAGATATTCAAATCGGATTTTTTTTTACTATTATTATTTGCGAAATACGATTCACTACAAAATTAAGTAAAAAAAAAATTTTATTTTTTCCGGGCATGTACACTATAAAAGAATTACTTTAATTTCTTATATCCTGCGCAGATCCCCTGATCCCGAACGACGTTGCAAGTTCCTAAACAATGTTGCCAAAATGTGCCGGCGCTCCATCGTGCTGAAACGACATGCTTCGACGTGTAGCTGCTCGAATGTCAACCATACGATCCGTCAACACTCTTTTCAAAAAGTAAGATAGATATTTCCGTTGAGGTAGTAGATATTTTATTCTATAACAGTCGTTACACTGCCGACCCAATTTTGAGTTTACAACTACCAATGTTCAACTCAGGAGCCTTGTGGTTTTGAACTCCATCCAGGAATCAGGGAAACTCCTGTAACATGTCACCGATAATGGTTTAGGGCAGGGATGGGCAAACTACGGCCCGCGGGCCAACTGTGGCCCTCCGGAAGGTTTTATCCGACCCCTTGAATAGAACTTTGATTTGCCGATCAGTGGCAAATATAAACAATATACATCCATTTTCTTGTCAACTATTTAAAATTATTTTTGTTTTTCCTTTTTTAACAAAGTACTGATGACCTTCTTACTTTCTCTTTTTGTTCTGAAAAACATAAATTGATGGAAATAGTTAGCGCAGACAGCTTCAATTGGTAAAATGTTGAAAGCAGAAGTTCTTCATAGAATAGCCTTAAATTGGCTCTAACTAGCGTTTGTCTTTCTCGAGGAATCTAATATAGGTGAATTGTACTTCACCTTTGGCAGAAAGCTGGATTTTAAGATCCAACGAGCGGACAATCTAGCAATCATCTGAAGCAGTTGTTTCTAAATATGCCAAAGTTTTACAAATCATAACCAAAAGCTAGTTTCCAGAATGTAATATTTCATTCCCAGAAAATCAGCGCTATGTTTGCTTAATCTTATATATGTGAACTATGAACCTTAGAAAAAATCATTTTAGAAGTGGACTAACAAAAAAGCATTTAGCCTTGTTCCT